CTAAATCCTGCACCCCTACACCCCTGCACCCCACACCCGACACCACACCCTGCACCCCAACACCCCTACAACCCTGCACACCCATACACCCCCACACCCCACCCCTATACCCCTGCACCCCTACATCCCTGCACCCCTTCACCCACGCCTGGGGGTGCAGGGGTGAGGGGCGCAGGGTTGCAGGGGTGTAGGGGTGCAGGGTGCACGGGTGTATGTGTGTAGGGGTGCAGGCGTGCAGGGTTGCAGGGGCGGGTGTAGGGGTGCAGGCGTGTAGGGGTGTAGGGTCCAGGGGTGTAGGGGTGCAGGGGTGTAGGGGTGTAGGGGCGCGTGCAGGGGTGTAGGGGTGTAGGGTGCAGGGGTGTAAGGGTGTAGGTGTAGGGAGCTTTATTTTTTAAACAAGCGGTTTAAACAGAACGTTTATACTACCTCTGTGGCTCCGGGGGCTTGGCCGCCCTCCACTTATGACTTGCCCGTAGCAGTAGCTGTATTCGGGCATTCCTACAATATATGCCGCCACTGGTTGCCCAACCCAAGCTAGGCAGGTTTGCAAGTCAACCTTGAACGGCCACACATGCACACACCTCGGTACACAAAGGCCTGAAACACGCCAACACACCAACAAACTCCAGGAGACTACAAGTCCCCAACGGTTAACCCCTCAACCCTGAGCCCTACTTGAGTAGTCCTCTAGATTGAGGTCCGCATTCTGTTCGATCAAGATTTCCGTCACTGCGCTGAACTTTCCCAGTACCGCATCCTTGGTTCGCAGTGGTCAACAACGACATTACCAACATAGACTAGTCGTCGACTTCTGCTTGAAGGACTGTTGCCTCAACTTCGGGTGCCAAAAACTTAAGCAGGAGTGTGCCGCTTCTTGGTTATATACTGTACTGCTCAGGCATGTACAGCCGATCGGTCAATTTTAAACGGCATCCTTCCCTACTGAAGTCTCAAAAATCAAAGGGCACCTCACCCAGAACCCATCCACAAACATGTCCATCAGCTCCTGACAAGACGGCCGTTGCATCCAAGCCGCCCGGAGGGGAGTTCCTTTCCAGCGATCTTGCAGATTGACATTGCCTGCAACGCTTAGAGGCTTAGGGGTAAGACACGGGTTCGTAGTTGGGGGTTAATTAAGTCTGTTGGGCTGTCTGGTGCTGCATGAGTTCACAACAGCATGCAGACAGATGGTTGGCTTCACCGCATGCTTCCAGCCACCCCCGGCAATTCCGCACAACTGGGGCGCATGGGTGAATTGGGTGCCTACCTTGCTTCCTGCTTCATTGCGTTTCAATATGTCGGCCCGACTATGCTACCGTGTTGCCTGAAGACTATTTTTGAGTTTCCACTCATGTCTTTGGTTTGGGCACCCGGCTCTGTAGAGCAGCTTGTTCCAGTCACCCGGGTTCGGGGGCCTTCGATGTTACAGTAGAATTGTTAAGGCACTTTCGGGCTTGTAGAGAACCTTCTTCTGCTCGGTGTTGCCACAGTGCATGCTGCACTACTAACTACAGCAATCACTGGTTGCAATACCGACGCCTGACCACAGCATGGCTGACTTGCACAAATACTCTTATGACGCCAGCATGAGCAACCAAGAGCAGCTGCAAACATCGAAGCACAGCGGCTCAAGAGGAGCTTCTCAAAACAGCTTGGCCTGGTCTGAAGCAAAGGATGTTTTCAAGGAAGCATCAGCCCTAGCCTGAATCTGAAACATTAGGCGGTTAAATCCTCAACCCTAAATCTTCGAAGCCGTACCGGAACCCTCGTAGTAGGTACCCTTGCATCAAACCCTCAACTTAAAGGCTATCCCATGCCCTTGCAGAAATGACCCGGCCGAACCTGTCTCTTATTCCGAAAATGCAAAGGTCACGAGCAAAATCCTTCGAATCCCCGAAACGCACCTACCGATGCAGAACCTAAAGCTGTAGAAGGACAAGTCAAGGACCGGATAACCCCACATGTCAAGTTTTAAGTAAGTTGCAAAGGACGCAAAACGGCACGGAAGAAAACGGCACGTGAAAGTGCGAGGGTGAGAGGGGTAAGAGTGTGTCTGTGCGTAATGATGTGAGTGATGATGTGCGTGTGATTAGCGAGAGCGAGAGAGAGAGAGAGGGAGAGTGAGTGTGTGTGTGTGTGTTTGTAGTTTGAGTGATGATGTGAGTGTGAGTGTTGGGGAGTGTGTGTGTGTGTGTGTGAGTGCGGGCGTGGTGTGAGTGTGTGGGAGTGAGTGAGTGAGTGAGTGAGTGAGTGAGTGAGTGAGTGAGTGAGTGAGTGAGTGAGTGAGTGTGGAGGGAGGAGGCGGAAGGAAGGCGGGGCGGGCGACGGACGGGACCGACGGACGCGAGCGACGGGCGCGACGGACGCCAAGCAGAAAAAGTAAGAACCCCACACAAAGACGTGGGGAAAAAATAAGTTTCCCTATACCCATTTAAAGCAGTTCCCTAAGCCCCGAACCACTGAATCTGCACATGCTACACTCACAAGCTCCTCCAGGCGAACATAGATTTGAATCTGATGATTATGCGGGTGTTGTCTACATCTTCCTGTCTTCGGGGACTTAAAGGGGACCAGGCCTCGACACATGACTCTTTATCGTTGTAACATCGTGTTCTCTGCTATTCAATGTCGGAGTTTTTCTGAAGAACCCACAGAAAGACTTACCTTTTCCAATGGTATGTTAGCAGATGTTGGTAGGATCATGGAGAAGTAAAGGAAGGCATATGACCGGCTGAAACCCCAAACCGTACAGCCTTCTTCACCGAAACCGAAACCCCTAAGCCCCAAATTCAACTTAGAAACACCCTTTTGCATCTGCGCTGAACCCATAACCTTATAAACTCTAAGCCCTTTTTGCACAGACTTGTACATACCCCTAAACCCTATAAGCCCCAAAACCCAGTGAGTTCTCGAATCCTTGCAAGACGAGGCCGGCCTTCAGCTTTCACCAAAGCCTTAATCACCTTGGGTTCGGGGTTTAGAGTTTAGGCGCTCGCACTCGGACAAGCCAGGCGAGGTTGTTGGGGTTATTGGTGCGTATAGTCGGATGAGGTGAAACACTTTCAAGAATGTCCTAACCTCGGAAAGGTTACAAAAGCGGCGGCTTAGGGTTTAAGGCGTTTTGTGGTGAGCTGCGTTTTAACAGTTCTTGTTGTTTGGTGTGGTGGGGGTAGGCTTGGGTCGGTTGAGGTTTCACATTTCGGGCTTTGGGGGAATAGAGGAGGATTTCATGCGGCTTTGAGAATTTGGGTTTGGGGGTTCGGATTTTCGAGTCCTGGCCTTTCGGACTTCATAGTGCCTGGAGATTCCGAACTCTCGGGGTTAATGCCTTAAAACTTGCCTTGCTCTCCTGCCCGACTAGGTGGCTTTCAACATGCGCTGAGTAGGCTAGCGGGTGCGCGGAGGTATTCCTTGATGCTGATGCTATGCCACCCCATGGACTCTACGCAAGGCTCGTCAGACATCACTCAACGGAAGAAGGCAACCACCACCCATGTACATTCCTCGAGGTCGGAAAGGACAACCGTGAACGATCGATCGTCTTCACAGCGCTAAGTCCAGCTTGTCCCAAGAACGGAGATATGCTTCTTTGCTGTACCCATGTGTCCACCTCAGGTGCATCTCATCTACGATCTACATCTGTTCTGCCCAGGCCTCTCAGAAAGTCCCGAACAGATGCCTGCCTCCCAAGAGCTGCCCACACAAGAAGCCGGTGAAGTGAAACTCTTTTATTTCCGCTGCTGGGCAATTGGATGCCCGCCAGGCTCTGGTTGAACTCCGCGCGAAGCTTCCGCACTGCGTGGGTGATGTCTTCGCACTGGGCAGCACGGGTGTCTCTGCAGGATGACCAACTCCGGCTGCGATGTGTTCGGCCACAATCCAGCCCGTTTCAGCACAGCTGACCTCCAGCCCAAAGCTGGAACCTGCTAGGCAATGAACGCCCACTGTTGTCCTGTCCGAACCGGCCTCTGTTGTGGGCTGCGGCGTCGTCGGTACTCTGCGTCTGCAGCATTGAACACTTAATTAATGTCTGCTGCATGGCGCCTCCGGACGCATGCAATTCCATCGGACCGTCGACACTGACCCCAACAGGACCGGCCGCACTGTTTTCTGAGAGGGCCAGGGGGTTTGTGCGCGCTTTGAGACCAAGGTGTGCAGCGTCACGCAAGCCTGGAACAAACACAAATCTGTCTATTGGGGCACCCTGAGCCTGGGCCGCTACACATCCTCAAAGCCCCGTTCATCCAGCTGTCACAGTCCGAACTCTGAAAGGCGACTAGGCGCATTCTCCCTGCCCTCGGCGGCTGCAAGGTGCATCGCGGTTCGGCCATCGCAGTTCCTTGCTTCCACTGCACTTGTCAGGTTTGTTTTGAAGTTTATGTCGTCCGGAAGCTGCCGTGACTACCATGGATGCTTGCGAAAGTCGGTCGTTCATCGTAATCTACCTAGAGAAAAAGTAGCACAGATTGATCGGGTATACGGAGTCGGCATGATCGTGCTCACATTCATCTGCGTTGTAGTCGTAGTATAGCTTAGAGGGAGTGGCGGTGGCGGTGGTTGTGCTGCTGGTGGTGGTACAGGCGGCGTCATCGCGACGACATTACCATCAGCATCATCAGAGTCGTCGTCAGCAGCAGCAGCAGCAGCAGCAGCAGCAGCATCTTCATCGCCATCCTCAACAACAATATGAGAATCATTGTCGTAGCTGGTGCACGCTGCCTTCATCGTCATTGTGGTACCAGCACCGAACCAGCAGCAGCCGGAGCAGGAGCGCCAGCATCAATAGCAACAATAACAGTTGGTGAGTAGGCGCAGTCTAGAGTAGTTGTAATTTGCAGTTGTCTACATCGTGTCAGCCGTCTTCCTAGCTGCTGCGAGGGCATAACATGACTCGAGTTGACGTTGCAACCGAAGCAGTGTCTCCTAAGTCTGGATTCTAATGGGTTTCTTCATTGCGGCGCCTTGCCCTGCAATGTTGTCAAAGCCAAAGCAGGAGGGCACTATTCGGCATGACCAAGCTTCGCTGTGTCGATGGAGACACGCTTGCGGAGAAGCAGCTCAACCTGTCACAGAAGCCGGGCCTATCTGTATCTCAGAACTCTGCAGCTGCAAGTCCAGAGCCTGCTTGTTGCAGATCAGCATTCTACGTAGCTGCTTGTCATGTTGTAGGCGCTACTATAGCCCCGTTTACTGCATCAACTGCTAGAGCTGCTTAATTCGATGCAAGTCTACAGTCCGTCTTGTACATGATTCCCTTCGAAATCAGGTGCTTCCATAGCCAGACATTGACTGGGGTCCAGACCAACAGCCTTCTGTGGTGCGCTTGACATAACTTGCCTGCTCCATATTCCCCTCCGCCGCCGCATTGATGAATGTGATGGACATGTGTGCGGTTCGACTCAGCAGCCTGACTTGCGAATGCTGAGAAGTGCACTTGCATTGCTCTGCAGCTGCACGCAAGCGCAAAAACCCCAATTTACAACCGCAAATCGAGCACCTTCGATTCTCCTCGAGACAAGCGACATCTGACGCACTGACTCCCTCATGTGCTGGAAGAACTCTGTCTCATCCTGCATAAAGTTACCACTTCAAGTATTCGCTGATAACAGTTGAAGTCAGACTCAACATTTTTTCGAAGATCCAACGAACAAAGTGCCTCACTGTTCCCTTTATAGGTTTCGTTGCTACAGATGGGATAACCTTCGGCAGCAGCAAAAGCACACGTTATAGCAACTACCGGGTTTCTGTCCTGGCCATCGTGCACCACGGCGCCCTTTTTGAGATCAGTGCCATTCATAGATAGCTTCATTGACTGAGCGACGTTGTGAAGAAGCTGGTCCTGAAATGGCAACGCACTTTGTTACCCACAATCCGCTTGAACTGATGCTGCAGCGCAGTCGCAGCTGGCACTAGCTGGATACTTCAATACAGATTATGTTTCATAAATACTGTATCCCGGCTATTACCACGCTCATCACTACTCATTTCTATTGGTGTGTTACAGTGCCTACGAAACCCCAAACCCTAAAATCGTAAAGCCCTAAACTCTCTCTCGCGATGCAGACCATCGACCTGATGGGTCCTACGGGCCGCAACCGTTTCTCATCGACTCCCCTTGCACGCCAAGCTTCACGATCGGAATCCAAATTCGACATGATCAGCTCAAAGTTGTCCGTCGTGATCTTGAGGATGGAGGACTCGACACCGGAGCGAGACCGTACCTGCACGCGACTCGAGATTTTGAGTTAGTGCGTCAAGAATAACATTGCGGTTGCCTAAGAAGTGGTTGAGATTCAGAGTCTGACATGACCCTCGAGACCTTATCCTAGTGCAAGCAAGCGGCTCCTTCCTAAAGCCTTATATTGGCACCTCTTCCAATTGTCACTCGTTTGCGTATGTTTTACACGTCCGGCTCAAAATTCACAGGATAGCACAACGTGTGGAGAAAGGTTTGGGGAAAACGCACAAACGAGAAAACATGAACCATACAAAGACGCTTTTGTTGTGAACCTCTGGACAGCTTGAAACAAAGACTGCTTGTGAAAACGACGGCAGAAGCGGATTCCCATCCCCTCTCGGACCCAGGTGCAGAGTAGAGATGTGGCATTTTCAGGAGGAAGGACACCTCGCCCACAGCTGTGGGCTCATTCGGCCTATCCTGGGCTGGAAAGATACTGCAAGTCAACTTCGGTGAGGCATCTTCTGGGGCTTCACCGAAACTATCGGGGCTTGCGAGCACATGGTATGAACAGGCTGAGGTCACAAAAATGAGTTGGATTTGGTATAGAAGTTTGCGCGGCTATGTGTTACCTTGCCAAGAAACACTTCTGACGTAGCGCACCAGCTGCTCCTGCCAGGAGCATTCTTTGAGTTACCTAACTACACAACAAAACACGAACAAAAAGTCACGGACGTTGAATTTCGGATGCCGGAGCTACTGTCGTGCCTGCACTTCTGCACTTCGTTCAATGATTAAGACCTGCCTTGGAGCGACCGAGTCTGCCAATCACCGTTCAATCCCTGCACTCAACCCGAATGCGGTCTTGCAAAGCCAGTCTCTGATGATTCCGGTCGAAACCAGATTTTAGGGTGCGGGGTCTATCAGCTTCGGCTTGGGATCTGTGTAGCTCCTGGACCCTGCAAGTCTCCGACCCGTAGAGTAACCCTGATGCCCTATCGTGACCGTTACAGCAACCCATTTTAGTAACGTTTCTAACATACAGCCTTGCTCCATAGGTGACCCGAAACTGCACGTCAAGTCCGAAAGCTTCAACTCTTTGTGTTCTTGTCTCCTGCGATGTGATCATGAGAGTGCCCGTCTCCAGAAAGCACAGATCCTGAGTGGGGCTGTCACAGAGTGTTTTCCGCTACTGGAGAGCAAAGTTGCCATCTCAGGAATTCTTGAGGCGAACCGTCGGGGTTGGGGGCAAAAGCCCGAAAACTAGTCCCTTGGCCCTTGGCCCTTAACAAGAGCCGTACCCCCGACCTCCCTCACACACATAGCCTACTGCGAAGGTGTACATCTCATAGCCGCTCCCGACCTGCCCTCATCCTACAGCGTTGAGGATGGTTTGGGATTGGACTTCGGAACCTCTCCGTCCGTCCTACGACCAGGCCCTTTACCGCAAACCGTGAGTCGCTGAAGTCAATCATATGAATCATATTGCATTTGCGAAGCCCGGCTCCCTAACTAAACAGGAAACCTGCAGTTGTCCCTGAGCCGCAGGATATGTCGCTCTGTTGCACACGTCTGTTGCAAACTCAAGGCGCGCTAACACGAAGTACTTCCTAGCTACCCTAAGACTCCAAACAGCCCGAAATAGGTACTAAGGTACTATCCATAGGTTCATAGACTTTAAGGCCCAATGAAGGTACTATTCGTATACTTGGAGTCTTGGGCTACCGTAGGGCAGAAGCCATAACGACTTCCATACACGTGGCTGCCCGCTTTGGGGGCCCATACCTTCGGCACATCCTTTACGACTGTGAGGAGTATTTAAACAAAAAGGCCATCACCCCCACCCTAAACCCTAACCCGGAACCCTAAATGCAAACCCTAAACCCCTGGACCCCAACCCTAAAGGTTTAAACCCTGAACTCCAAACCCTAAATCTTACACAAACTCTAAAAGCTAAATCCTGAACAAGCTCTAAACCCTAAATCCCAAAAAACTCTAAGCCCCAAATCCTGCTTCGGAAGCTGAGGCGCTTGTGGCGCGTCGTTCTCGCAGAAGAGAAACTCCGAAGGCTGTAAGACCACGACCTGGCAAGACTGTAGGGTTTAGGGTTTGTGGGTCTCAGGGTTTAGGGTTTAGGGTCTTGGGGTTTGTAGGGCTTATTTTCCCTCCCACATAGCAATCAGGACTTATATTGTAGAGGGTTTTTGTTGAACGATCCTTGTTCCGGGTATAGGGTTTATACTGTTCAGGGTTCAGGGTTTTTGGGGTTTAGGGATGTTTTCCCTCTCGCATGGCTTAGGGTTTCGGGGGGCCTTGATAGGTTCCTGAAAAATGCGTCTTACAATAAGGGTTCGATCAGGGCTTGTTATACTCGGGGCTTTAGCAATCACAAAAAGAGCTCCAATGTAGTATCGCTGTGTGTAGCGAAAGTCCTTGCAGCCCGCAGGCACCAGGCACCCCAGTTTGCACCGTTTAGAAAGGCACGAATACGAGGAGTTTGGGCTTAGCGAGGTTGCAGGAGGCTTTGTCAGGAAGGCTATGTCAGCAAACGCTTCGCCGATGCTGTGCAATGCCATCCGTCTTCCACGACTTACGGCACAGGGCTTGAAGCTGAGGACCTTGTGGGTCTAAGGTTGAAATTGCTGATTCAGAGCCCGTCGCACACTGCACCGATGTCTGCTTCATGCCAACCATTCACAACCAAGCTTGGCAATTCGAAAAGAACGGACGAAGTACACTTCAGGGCGTACATATCCAATCCAGATCAGCTTCAAGAAAGGCCCCTCATTCTCATCGTCATCATCATTACAAATTATCGTTACTGTGAATACATCCGCCAAGCTGAAACCTCATTCTGCTGAGTCTGATACCGCACCAGTTAACGCCACAGTTGCACGTCACCGAAGTTGGCGGAAGACTGCCGTCATCTGGCCATACTTCTTTCGGCATCCTTTCAGCCTCTATATAGAGGCCATAGGCCATAGAGAGCCTACCTTAATTATTGGAAACAAACATGTTTCGGGGAATGTTGTAGTATGGTTGCGCTATGGAGCCCCAAGATCCAGGCTTCTGCAGTCGCCGCAACATCCCTCTCAGAGGCAGCCTCGAGCTGATCGATGATCTGCAGCATGAAGTCAGAGCTGGCGCCGTTGAAAAGCTTCTCGTTGGCTTGGATGATGGGCAAGTAGATCTGGGCATTCCAGACCGTGCATCGTGCGTGCTGGCAGCAAGGATTTGTGGTACACCCGGCTTTGCAGACTCGGGAGTGAGTTTGGGATCGGTGATCAGCCATCGAAAGCAGCAGACAAGACGAGAATGAACGATTTGGCTTCACGGCTGTGTGCAGTGTGTGCAGGTGTGACCGGCACTGGAGCGGCTACTCAGACACCAAGGACTTGCACGCACATGCTGGCCATGCAACTATAATAGACTGGGCCTTACTAACCAGGACCAGAGCAAGGATTTGGGGGGGGGGGGGGG